TGGTCGTGAAGCTTCCTGAGCTAACCTCCGCTTTTCATAATGCGCGTAGATCAGCGGTGCGGATGCTTTCGAATCTGCGCCTGAAATCCACCGAGTGCCGTCGCGATCGCATGCTTTGAATGTGACTTTGTACTGCCGCGGCTTGTTGTCGTACTTGCGATCGGTGATGACGCGGTCAACTTCCTGATGACCATCCATAGAAGGAGGGTCCTGCGATCGTCGGCCCCGAAAGTCGTCGCTCTTGGCTGGCGTGTATGTTGCCAGCTTCGAGGCGTGGAAGACCGGATGGACCGTTAGATGCTCTGGAATGTTGATCACAAATGAAGGGCCATCGGGCTCATCGCCCGCGGCTGTTGTCACAGACCCAGGTCCAAACCACTTGGGAAGCAGTTTGCRTGAAACATCCTGTTCCAGTGCAAACTCTTCCGCGGAGACCCAAACCAGATCACCGGCGCGGATGGGACATGGTACGCGACGCCTATTGGCTTGCTGCTGCATGTGGACTTGAGCCTTTTGCATGTTTGAGCGGGCTTGAGTCAACAATTCCCTGTACTTCCAGACGGAAGTGGGAGAGCAGGCAGCGTCAATGTCGACTGGTCGAGGGAGGAGAAGGTCGACGAAGATCCGGCCTTTCCGTCCACCGTGGTGCAACTCGAATGGAGTCACGCCGATCGCCGGATGCACCGAAGTGTTGTAGGCGAACTCGATGTCGGGGAGGCGGTCAACCCAATCTTTCTGGTCCGGACGGATGAGCGTACGAAGCATCATTTGAGTGGTTTAATGTGCCTGCTCCGTCTGCCCGTCTGTCTGTGGATGCCGAGCCGAACTTGGTTTCATCGTCGTGTCGGACTCCTGCATGAGAGCAGTCCAAAATGCTGACATGAAACGAGTGTCACGGTCGCTGACAATGTCTTCCGGTACACCGTGGCCACAAATCCAACCAGTGTGCAGGAGGCGTGCCAGCTCGGGAGCCGTGGAGTAGTATTTGCAAGGAAGAAAATGCACGTGCTTACTCAATCGGTCCACAACCGTGAGGATGCCGTCGTGCCCAAGCCGGTCGGGAGGGAATGGACCGGTGACGTCCATGGCAATGGAGAGACCGGGTTCCCGTGGGATAGGCATCGGGTGTAACTCGCCATAGGGATTGCGGTTGCGGGGTTGCTGCGTCGGCAAACTTCGCATGAGTCGCAATACCGAGTGATATCGGTAATAAGGTCAGGCCATTGGAATCGTTGTCGAAGTCGTGCAATAGTGCGGTTGACTCCGAAGTGGCCGGCGAGTCGTGAATCATGATACTCGCCGAGGAGGCGAGTCCGAAGACGACGGCCGTGGGGGACACACAGTAAATCCTTGCCTCTCGAGTGGAGGAGTAAGTACCCGTCGGCAATGCGGTAATGGCTGGTCGGCGGGTGATCCGAAGATAGCTGTGCATATAGCGTGGCGAAGTCCGGATCAGACTGGTATGCCCGGATGAAGTGTCGCTGAAGCTCCTCGTCGAACGCGAAGGCATGATGAGTCATAGCGCAAAGATCAGGTCTTCGCGAGACTGCATCTGTTGCGCGATTGGAGAGGCCGGAAAGATGTTTCGGTGTGAAGTCAAACTGGTCGATGAAGTACATTCATCGTCCGATCGTGCTGCTCACCGTATCCTGCGTTTTGTAGTAGGTCAATGGATTGTTGTCCGTAACCCATGTGAACCTACGACGCCCAAGGAGGAAGTGTCGCCATCGCTTGAGAGCGCGAGTAACTCCTTCTTCCTTGCATCATCAAGCGAGTTGATGGGAGACACTTTGTGGCTGAAGTACTCCACAGGGTGCCAGTCGTCGCCGTCCTGCTGTTCCAAGACTGCCCCAATGCCATAGCCGGAAGCGTCCGTAGTCACTCTCGTCGGCAGGGTGGGGTCATAGATGCTAAGGACGGGTGCCATGAGCATAGCCGTCTTAAGTGCTTGGAATGACCGGCGTGCGTCGTCATCGAATACGAATGGCACCTTTGGCGACTGTAACCTCGTCATAGGTGCAGCAATCCTGGAATATCCGGTGATGAATCGCTGATAATAGCCCGCCAACCCCATGAATGGACGAACGTCCGTGGTGTTGGTGGGTTCGGGCCACACTCGTAGGGCCTCGATCTTGTCCGCGAGCGGACGGATGCCTTTCGGCGTCACATAATGGCCCAAGTACTCCAGCTCCTGTTGTGCGAACTCGCACTTGTCGTGGTTTGCTTTGTACTTGGCCTGTCGTAGCCGCTCCAAAATGGTGCGCAGGTGTTCCACATGCTCTTCCAAACTCCGACTGTACACCAAGATGTCGTCGAGGTAGATGAGTACAAACCGATCCAGCATGTGTCGGAACTCCGTTGTCATAGCCGCTTGAAAAGTGGTTGGGGCATTCGTAAGGCCAAACGGTATGACCAGCCATTCGAAATGCCCATACCGTGCCTTGAACGCGGTCTTGTAGCGATCCTCCTTGCGAATCTCGAGTTGGTGATATCCTGACTTGAGGTCCAGCTTGGAGAAAAACTTGGCGCCGCCCAGTCGTTCGAGGAGATTGTCGATGCGTGGGAGAGGGCCAGGGTTCCTGATTGTCTGCGCGTTGAGCTTGCGATAATCGATGCACAACCGCAGGTCCTTGTTCTTCTTCCGGACGAAGATAACAGGAGCACCGTATGGCGATGAGCTAGGCCGAATCCAGCCTTTCTCTAGAAGGTCGTCAAGTTGTGAACGGAGCACACTTAACTCTTCCTCGCTCATTCGGTARATGCAACCGCGCGGAGGTACGGCCCCGTCCTCGAGGATGATCTCGTGGCGGATGGGCCGATCCGGTACTACTCCGTGCGGGCGTTCGAACACGTCGCTGTAGGCGTCGAGAAGTTCGGTGATGCGTGGATCCGAAGRTGAGTCCGTCGATGAAGCGTCTCGGGGCGGGAGGGCGTGAAGAAAACACACCCCCATCTCCTCGATGTCGTCTCTGATGATGGAAACTCACATGCTTGCGGCGGATACCACGTGGCAGCTGATCGAAGGATGAGGAAAAGGTACCGTGCATGGAACTAATACTCCGTTCCGATCACGAATGTGAACGGTGCGGTGGAAAAAGTTCACCGGGTGATCCTCGCTTCGCAGCCATGACATGCCCAAGATCATGTCAAATTTGGTGTCCAGAATGTCAAAGGACACCGCCTCACTTGTGTGAGGGGCAAAGTACACTGGGACGTTATCAATGCACCGGCCGATTGACTTGTGCGTGTTACTGTCCGGCAACGTGACTTCCGTAGGCTGGGACCTCCTCCGGACGCATGGGCCAAGGCCGGCGCGCACCATGAAGTCCTGGCTGATGTAGTTGCGAGTAGCTCCGCAATCGATCAAGGCGCTGCAGGTCACCTCTCTAATCTGAATGTGTACGTATAGCAATGATGCGTCGATGTCGTCATACCGTTGCGTCTTGAACTCGCGGTCGATCTTCGCGATGTAGGCGTGAAGGTCGACAACCTCTGCTCAGGCGTCCATCAACGACGCTGGTACTGCAGTGTGCAAGTAATCCCGCAATTGTGTCATGAGCACGTTGCAATGCGGTTTCGGCAATCGTCCGGTCGAGGGAACGGGCATCCACTTGAAGTCTGTGAATGTCAACGGGTCGAGCTCTTCAAGTCTTGACCATGTTGTCGAGTCCCCGACGATAGATTGCGGCGAAGCTGCCGAATCGGTTGCCAATGGTGATGAAACAGTGCATGCGATGGATTGTTGCACGTGGAGCGGTTGGTCCAGCGGTGGAACCAAGTGGACAGCATAGTTCTCGTAAGTGTAACGAGAACTTGCGACATTCGCGTTCTCCCCATATGTGCAGGAGGCCGCTAACAAGGCGTTCGAATCAAGCAGAGTGGAAGGTGGAGTCGCCTCACCTTCCGCGGAACTCAGTTTCCCGAGTTGAGGCAGGGTCGCACATCCTCCTTGCCCTGATCCTGGCACAGGGAGGTCTTGTGCTTGGTGCTGTTGCACCAATAGCAGCTGCCGTAGCGGCCGCGGACCTTGTACTCCGCCTCGGTCAAGCTGAACTTGACCCATGGAGGCTGTCCATTTCCGGCCTGCGATGCTGGTTTCGCCTTCCCATTGTTGCGGGACTTGTTGTTGCTTCACGTCTGGACAGCAGCCACCTGATCTCCGTCACCTGATGCTGGAGTGGCTGCTGGGTTATCTCCACTGTCCGACTGGATTGCAGTGAAGTGTTGCGGTCACGGACCAGTTCGTACCTTCTCCACATAGGTCGGCTGCCATGTTGATTTCTCGTGTGCAGCTGACCTGTTGGTCTTGATGATCTCCCTCGCCTTGTCAATGATTTCGGTGAAGGTGGTGTATTGCTCGCGATCACCAAGAGCCTGGCTCAATGCAGCACAGGACATGTTGTAGAACTCACAACGTAAGTGCGTGAATGGCAAGTCCAGATTGGGCACTGCCACAATCTTCTGCCACTCCGTGAGCCAATCCCGTATTGCGGTAATGCCCTGTGACATGGTGAACAGACAGTTGATGGCGAGTGTCGGCGCGTCGTCGACGATGAACCGCCAGAGTTGCGTCGATGCCATGTGATCTTGTCCTTCAAGTCTGGTACGTCGATGCCATGGGAGGTTGCCAGGTGGGTCAACCAGGTCTGGCATCCGCCCTTTGAGTTCAAGAACAGGGCGCCGATGTACGCATGCTTAGCGACAGGCAAAATCCTGAGTTGCGTCGTGAATGCTTCCCACCAGAGGACCCGATCCTGCTGCGTGTAGTCATCGAACTTTTCCAGTTGGAAAGTTGACATCTTGTACATCTTAGGATTGTCATTTGTGTTCGTCGACTGCAACTGCTGGACCTCGGTCTTCAAGGTATGCAACTAACTCCTGATGGTGGTCGGCGCAACGAAGGTGCTGATGTCGCCGAGCATTGCCACTACGTGGTCAACGCGTTCCTCCAGTTGGCGGCTAGAGGGTACACTGCTGGAAGCCCCAGCATCTGGTCTTGGTGGATGTTCCAAGTCCTGTACACGGGCGTCCAGTGTCCGTGTGGCATCCTCGTGCTGCGTCTTATGGTTCCGCACGACCCGCTGGAGGTTTGCCAGCTCGGACTGTAGGTGGTTACACGTGTAAACCAGCCTCGTCACGAGCTTGGCCGTGAACTCCTTATGCTGCTCCTCCGGTGTCGCGTCGTCGCCGTTGGGTTCAAAGTGCCAGAACTTAAGTTTCTAAATGCTGGCTGCTTCATGCCGCTGCAGCAGCTCCTGGGCTTCCTTGCGGAGGAGCCTGGGTAGCTGCATTTGCCTCGGCCTAAAGCCGCTGCTTCTCAGCTGCTGCCCCTTCTTCAGCCTGTAGTTGGGCAGCCTTGGCTGCCAGCTGGCGTTGTTCCTCAGCCTCAATGAGAGCGAGCTGAGCATGGAAACGCTGTTTGTAGTCGGCAATAGACTCGTTGGCCAGTTGGCCTGGCAGGCCCGTCATGTTGCTGATGTGACACTGCTGATATGGCACTGTGTCTGACGTGGCACTGCTTACATGGCACTGTGTCTGACGTGGCACCGCTGACGTGGCACTGTGTCTGACGTGGCACTGCTGATGTGGCACTGCTGACGTGGCACTGTGTCTGACGTGGCATTGCTGACGTGGTACTGCTTACGTGGCACTGTGTTTGACATGGCACTGCTGACGTGGCACTGTATCTGACGTGGCACTGCTGACGTGGCACTGTGTCTCTCGTGGCACTGCTGACGTGGCACTGTACCAACTGGGAATGCAAGCAAAGAGGTGGGTGGGGAAAAACGTAGGTAGGAAAACAACCCAACAATACTTGCCCGCGGCCCTAATCAACAGATAAAATAAAAAATAAACGAGGACTACTTCCTTTTTTTTTTTTTTTTTTGTATATCTGTCGATCTATTATGAGTAGGACATGTCAAAAGAGTATTATGAACGAGTTCTAGGCTAGGTTCCGCAAAGTTTCGGCTTTTACAGACTGCAATCTTGAATTTTTTTTTTTGCGAAATGGAGTAAAGATGCGATTTTCAGAAAAGAACGAAATCCGGTTTCTGAAAATATGGCAACCTCCGAATATGCCTAATGCAATATTGGTAGGCTTCGCAAAATTTCGGTTTTCAAAAAAAAATTGCGAGATAGAATGAAAATTCGATTTACAGAAAAAAATAATTCCAGTTTCCGAGAATATGACTAGTTCTATCGTTATCCCAATATGCCTAGAGAACGAAATACTAACTTCAGAAATTTCAGCTATGTATGCGAAATATCAGAGAAACGAAAAGCTACTATCGGGAATTTTAAGACAAAACGAAATGCGATTTATCAGAAATTTCAGATATTTGTTACATAAAAACGATAGAAAGCCTAAGGTCACACACATCCCCTGAAATTGCTAAATCAGATAGTGAAGGGATGCTGGAGATAGCTTATAACTTCTACAAAGAACTTTACCAGTCCAAGACCGAAACACCAATACCCATCAACGTCAGATAGGCAAGGCAAAAAATGTTGCATTACCTAGAGTAGACAATATCACCCGATCAGGCAGAAGCGCTTGACAAACCGCTCACTTCAGAAGAAATACTCGGGGCCCTACAAAGCATGAATAACAACAAAACCCCAGGAATTGACAGCTTAACAAAAGAGTTATGGGAAAAATTTTGGCCCTTGCTTGGAAACGATTTACTCAACTTCTATAATGACAGTTGGTCTAAGGGGGGGCTGGGTAATCTTCTCAGCAGCAGCGTATTCACACTACTGTACAAAAAACGTGAAAAAGACGATATTAGAAACTACATGCCCATATCACTGTTAACCCCTCCCCTACAAGATCCTCGCTAAGACCTTGTCTAACCGAATCATTAAGATCACCAACAAATGCTTCCACATTGACCAAACAGGATTCATCCCGGACCGATATATTTTGGACAACGTCATGACACTAAATGAATCAATGAGAAAAATCAAAGAAAGGAAAGTAAATGCCGCCATTCTCTTCTTTGATTTCGAGAAAGCATACGACCAAGTCAACTGGGACTTTATGGAAGCAAGCATGGAAAGAATGGGAGTCGGACCGAACTTCAGAAAGTGGGTTAGGATACTCTAGAAGGATGCAGTTGGCTGTGTCCAAGTTAATGGACTATTGTCTGACTGCTATCCGATATCCCGCTCAGTCCGCCAAGCTGAACATCTAGCGTCGTCAATCTTCCTTTTTGTAATGAAGACAATTGCTTCCTTCCTGCGCAAGGATCCATCAATTCAGAGACTAGCCAGTACCGACGTAGGCTCGGCTCATCAGATGGATTTCCCTGCAGCTATCATGTTCGCTGATGATTTAACAGTTCTGATTAGAGCATCATACTCCTCCTTCAGAACACTAGCCAAAGCAATGGAAGCATTCAGGCTAGCCTCAGAAATGAGGATCAATTGGGGGAAAACAATTGGCTGGTGGCTTTCTGTGTCGTTCCCCGTACGTCGTACGGGGGGTCTCCGTACGGCCCGTACGGACGGACGGACGTACGCCCATACGGGCGTACGGACGACGGCCGTACGAAGGTGTTCCAGGGGCAAAA